AGTGTCTCTTTTTTTGCCATTATTAAAAAGATAATAAATGTTTCTCTAAGAAATTATTCAAGAAATAGATTCAGCAGCACGCAAATCGTATTATAAATCCATGGAAGTCTCAACAGATACTCTTGGAGTTTCTATAGAGAAATTTCAAAAAGTCAATTTCACTGCTCGGTTTTAGTGTTAAATATCAACTTTTATAGTTTCACTGTATGAAATCAAGCGGTGAGAGTCACCTCTCGAGTGCAGAGGGTTAAATCCTTCAAATGTTGCATGCCACGTATCGAAAGGTACCAACAAAATCAACTGCAACTATAATTCGTTCCCATTGATACCGTAGAACTACCAATTGGAGAATTCCATAGTATTTCTGATCCGGGAATAGCACGAGTACGCTCTGGCGTGACGTACTATACTCAATTCGCTCTGACAAATGTACCTTTCTGATGAAACGTCAATGATACCGCAGCAGTTCTGTTAAAAACAGCAGGCCGTCTCTCCCCGACTTACCGTCATAGGTTGCGTTTCTCGTGTTTCGTTCGAATCGCGAAATGCCGGAACGGGCGGTGTTTCCATTGGAGCATGCTCCGTTCCGGAAACAAACGTCAACGGCGAACAGATCGATGATTCGCGTCCATGGAAACCGCGGCTGGACCAATGCGGCGGCGCGCGCGCCCGCCTTTTTGCTCCCCCGAGCCGGGAGGGTGAGCTAACGAGCGAAAAGAAAAGCGTCTGGGAAACGCCGCGGCGCGCGTCGCGGGACGAACAATATTTGCCGGATCGGGCGGCGGGACGGGGGCAATATTTATTTCAAGCCGGCTGCGTTCCTCCGTCCCGTCGAAACAACGGAAATGTATTCGGCCGGTATCGATGCAGGCTAACTCGTTAAAGCCTGGATATACTTGCGGAATCGCAGGCTTGAATTTCAAATTTTTCCTCGTCGAAGGTTCTATCGGCTCGCAGCTAGGCTTCGACGTGTTCTTTACGACGTTCCCTCCAGAATTACTTTCGTTAAGCGTGCTCGACTTGTGCATCAGACGGTTTGTAAAGAATTTTTAGAGCTGCAGCAGGAAACTGCGATGTTTCGCCTAACGCGTCGCGTCGCGTTTCTCGCGAGCGTTTGGTAACGTTTTTAAACTGAAACTCTTATCGAACAGGGAAAACGTTGGTTTTTTAGTTAAGTAAGAGATTTAATTTTATTGTTTTAGTTTCTGTAGCTTGTGTATGAATGAATTGAGAGGAAACGATGGAGAGAAGTCGGAGAGCAACGCGTTATTAAAATATATATGGTAGATCACCATTGATTGACGAGTCAGCCTGAATTATATAGTATCTACTTGGCATTATATAGTAGATCTTATTACAATATTCATGGTTCGAATATTCTTGATTCCTTGCGTCTGATTCTTTCTTCGATTCAATTAACCCTTTGCTCTCGAGAGGTGACTCTCAGTCACCATTAGATTTAATATAGCAAATTATAGTCTTATATAGAATATTATGCTATATTTCTTAACTTACCTATGGTTTCTTGTTTGTTAGTTTCAAAGATTACACGTTTCTAATGAAAAACTTTCGAGTGCAAAGGATTAACACTAGAACTACAGGCAAATCGACTTAGCTCTCTTCTAGAAATATTGTGAAAGTGTAATTATCGAGATTTTCATTGCCCTATATTTTAACCCTTTGAACTCTGTAGGCTCTAATATTGCACCAGTTATAATATGAAATATTTTAATGAATCAAAGAAACTACCCTAAAATTCTTAGATTCTCCACGCATCGAAATTTTGTATTGAGAAGGACAATAAAAGATCGAAGGAATGCTATAGCATTTTTCATTTTCACCAGAGATACCATAGAAATTAGTTGCAGTTGCTGATCAATTACAAAACCATCCGGAGTGCTAAGGGTTAATATCTCAAATGAAAGTTTCCATTGCTACGTGAAATATTTCAATGAAACACCTCTGTTGCTTAATTTATCTATGAATTATCGTTAAATTAGTTTCAAACAATACGATCTATATCTCGCCAGAGAATGTTGAATATTTCCATTGAGAAACTTTCGAGTGCAAACGGTTAATTCGTACATTACCAAATCAGGTTATTTAGTCGTTTCTCTGAGAAACGCTTGTATGTTATCAGTGATTGTAAAAGAAGGAATCACGGATAGGTAATTTTGTCTGGTGGATTTAGCGTTAAACAGGGCAGCGAATCGATTAGCGGACGGTCAGGTACTTTCCGAATCCGCTCCCTCTTGGCCCGTGCATCGCGCTCTAAGTACTCCGGACTCGTCGGTTCGAGAACTTGCCGAGTTCTACTCATTAAGACATTATCCCCTGGGCCGCTTGTCTGAGGCAACGTCTCGACGCGGTGTGCAATCAAGGCGCACAGACGCGCACTTAAATTACTACTCGAGAGTATCGAACGCGGGACGGGAACTTGGCTCGTTAACGCGACGCGGAATCGCGGGGCCGAACTTCCCGAATCCGCCGGTTCTCGTGGCGACTAACAAACCATTCTGTTATCGGCCTGTAACGATTATGTGCGCCCCTGATTTAATTGGTGAAAAATAATATTACGGGCAGTGATTTGCTTCTAGGAAGACAAGCTCCTTTGCTGATTTATTGGGAATATTTATGTGATTTGCTCATTTATTGGGAATATTGATGTTCTTTGTTTGCTTATTGGAAATATTCGTGTTTTTTGCTT